ACAACCAAAGCTTGTTGTATTCTCAATAAAAACCCTGCTAGTTAGGGACTCAGGGCTCTCAATCTCGATCCGCTGCGTCGGTGACAATTGAGAGTCCCTGCTTAAGCTTAAATAAACGACCCTCGTGTGCTTACATCGGAAACGGTCTCCTGGTGGTCTTTGAGACATCGCGATCTGGACACAACATAGGGTGTGTCATAACATGGACATACCATATTTATTTAACTACTTCCTTCCTGATGGGCTCTTCAAGAAACTTTTGTTTTGTTTTGTTTTTTGGTGTTTTGAGTCAGGGTCTCTCTGTAATTCAGGCTGGCCTTGAACTCACTGTATAGCCCAGGCTGGCCTCGAATTTGAGACAAGCTTCCTGCCTCAGCCTCCCAAGTGCTGGGATTACAGGTGTGCACCAGTACACCCAGCATGTTGGACCCCGTGTTCAGGTTTATGGTTTGGACCGTAGGACCCCATAACTGGGCCTCTAAGGAGTGACCGCCTCCAGAGAAAATGCCCACTGGGCAGGACAAAGTACTCGGAAGACCTGCCCCTGTGAAACTTTGCCTTCTTCCTCCCCACTTCCTGACAGGCTGTCCAGCCTCATCCTAGAAAAATCGTAAGGAGCTCTTCCTGAGTTTGTTTTTACGGTAGAGGGGACTTTTTTTTTTTTTTGTAGTTTTTTAAAATTTGAAGAAGGCCTCATTAAATTGCCCAGGCTGGGCTCAAACTTGGGATCGTGCTGCCTCAGCCTCCTGAGAGACTGGGATCACAGGCGTGCACTGCTCCAGGGTTCCTTGAGCTGAGGGTGAGGGCAGAGCCTCGGGCAGCGGCAGAGGGCAGATGGTGGTATCCGAGCAGGCACAAGGCTGGGCTGCCGAGCTAGGCTCGTCTCATAAGGCTCACTGTGATCTCACGGGGGCCACACCCTTGAGCCGGACAGGCCTGTGGCTCAGAAGGCCCCAGAAGAGCTTGGGTGACGGCGCTCATTTGGGAGCCTCTTACCCTGCTGCCGCCATATCTCAGATTTCTAATCTCATTCGGTCTCGTTTGTGCGGTTTGTGTGCGGTTTGCTAGGTGTCATGGCAGGAACCGGCCGGCCGCCAAGACAGACTCGGAGGTAGGGGACCAAACTCCCTTGAAACTGCTCGGGTCGCTGCACCCAGAGATGCCCGCGCTTTGGCACATGGGAGGACCCGGGTGGGCAGGGCCGGGCCGGGCCGGGCCGGGCGGGCCCGGGTGTCCTCCCACGAGTCCCTGTGAGCCCTTTTCCTGCACTTTACTTCCACAAGCTCCAGGGCCTGTTAGGTTGCCAGAGACTGAGGGCGAATAAAGCGCTTCCGGGGGAGTGGGAGAGACGTCGATCAGACAGGTGCTTAGGGAACCCCAGGGAAGAGCGAGTGATAGGAGCCGGAGGCGCCAATACTGCGGGGCGGGGAAGGGGGGGAGGGCGAGCATTCTGACCCCGGTGGGCTCTAAAAGGCCTCTGAGAGAGCCCGGGGCTTTTGGGTTTTCTGAGATAGGGTCTCCTGGTATGTTCAGGCCGGCCTCAAACTCACTATGTAGTGCAGACTGGCCTCAAACTCACAGGGATCCTCCTGCCATGGCCACCCAACTGCTGAGACCACAGGGGTGCGGCACCATGGCCCAATGCCTGGAATTCTTGCATATTGCATTCCAAAACAGCAGTTTTTTATTGTTTTATAATTTAAAAATTTATACCTGCATGACAAAGAAGGTTTCAGGATGTTAACTGAAAACAACACATTGTTGGTGGGATCCTTATTTCCAACAGGAGAGGAATTGACTGGCCACTTGGAATCTATGTTTGATTTTATTTGATGATGCCAGTTTTCCAGTGATTACACTAGAATTAATTAACACTCCCACGAGTAGTGTTTGTGCTCCATTCTTAGCATCCTGCCAATCAGTTTCACTTTAGTCACTAGTATGTGGTATTGCACTTTGGTTTTATGTGTGTTTGTGACTAATAATATTGAGC